TTTTTTTCTTGCACGAGGGAGACGTTTGTGGGCCACAAAGTTCGTGGTTTGAGAATAGAAGAAAAGAAAAAGACAAAATTGGGAGAAAAAAAAAGTTACCAAAAAATGGAGAAAAAAAAGTGACCAAAAAAGTGACAAAAAAAGTGGAGAAAAGATGGGAAGATCCCTCCTTGGGAACACACAGCCTGCGGAGAGCCGCTCAGCTCAGAAGAGAACCCCCACTGGAACCAATTCTCCGCTTTACGCCGCTTTGGCCATGGGCTCTATCTGGCTCGCCCCAAACAGACAAAGTTGGAACGAAAGCAAATCGGGGTTATAAAAAAAAAAAACGTAAAAGATGACACCAACTGCACAGCTTACAATCGCATGGAAAGAAGAAAAAAAAAATAAAATAAATGAACTCAATGGTTATCTTAGCCGACCTGAAAAAAAAAAAGACACCATTTGAGGTTGGAACACATTTGTAAATTGTGAGTTTTTTTTTTTTTTTTTTTCTTTTATTTTTGGAAGTGATAAGACCAACTCGCTCAGTCGTCAAATGGAAGGCTGTTCTGTGATGGAGGTATGACAGTAATAAACTGAGAAGTGGGAGTTCCCTTCTTTTTTGCGTCCCCACCCTCGCTTCTCTACAGTGACGTCCTACCACGTGGTAGGATCCAACCCCAAAGTGCGCCATCTCCTAATTATCCACATACATTGGGATGATACTAATCCGGGGAGACTGCAGATGATAGTTGGGCTTATTAGGCCACGTCGCGCATATCAATCTTTGCCCCCACCCCACAAGATGGTCACTGCATAAATGAACCCTCCGACAATGGGAACAAATAAAAAGGTCACTTTAGTAAATGCCTTACATTCTACCACCTCAGCTAGGACATACACACGGGCGGTACCCCTTCGTGGGGGAGCCCCTTCGTCGGAGCACACCTTCCTGGAGCAACGAATTGTATTTTATAAGAACCGAAATGTGGACAGCCCGGGTTGGCACAGCTAACCTAGAATAAACCAATCCAGTCGAAAAAGTCATCAGGCCATTCGTAAAAACTACCCTTCTTCTGTATGCATACCGATGGGATGATGCCTTACTGTACTTTTATCTGCCCTGAGCGGATATAACTTTTGAGTCCTCTTCTCAGAGCGGTAATTAACCCCTCAGCGTAAAAGAAAAAAAAAGAAAAAAAAAAAAGAAGTAATAATGGTGTGTAAATAAATAGCGAATGGGATGTCGAGGAGAACAACGTGAGGGGTTGCGTTTATCCTATGGTTATGTGCACTGATTAGCATTTATATGCAGAGGTATATATACTGCAACGTGGACTAGCGTGTTTTCCCTCACTTGCGTATGGGTACCTGTTGGGGGGAATCATCCACCCTCATAAAGGATCATTTCGTTTGAAGAAAAAAAAAGAAGCGAGTCATATTGCATCTCACAGGAAAGGCATGTCAAACGCACCATTGGTTAGCTGCCTTAAAAGGGAAAATACGTACGTGGTGGTGGTGTGAGGCATATCAGGAAAAAAAAAAAAATAAATAAAAAAATAAAAAATAATGCACAACTTGCTACCTCCTTAACTTCTAATCTTCTTCCCTTGTTAATTTTTTTTTTTTTTATTATTTTTGTGGCTCGGTGGCAGTCCCCCTTCTTCCAAAATTGCAAGCACGGTATTGGAAGTTTATCATCCTTTAACGGAGATAAAAGCGGGACGGGGCTACGAACATGCCTGGGATGCGTTATCGCCACTGAACCAGTTGCGCAGCCCAGTGGAAGGTCACAGGTAGGACGCTAACATGATGATAAGAGGTCGATGAGAGGCCACTAAAGAGCCGCTAAACAAGCCCCTAATAGCCAACTGGAGGGGACACCGCGAGCAAATCAAGTAGGCGAGCGGAACCCTCCATTGGATTTCTTCACACCCGCGGTGAGACGTGTATAGCGAAGACGTGGGGCGTAGCAGAGCCGGAGGAGCCGCCCTGAATGACTATTATACATCGCCGCAACAATGATGTCGACAGAGGCAAGCCACAGAAACAACCTATTCTTCCTCGCGGTGAGCAAAAACAAAGCAACGGTTTATGAGTATGACGTTAGTTTTAGTAGCTGCATAATTAACGATATAGAAAAGGAGATCAAACGGAGCGAAGAGGATGTTGGGGCCTTCAGCCAAAGTGGAAATCGCGAATGTGTCATTGGCGAAACGGCCAAGCGCGAATGCGCAGATGTGAAGGAAACCATCAGAAGCAATGGAACGGTACCCCGAACAGAAGGAAAAAAAACGGGAAAAAAATTCAACAACGATTTTGTCGTCAATCGGGGCATTCGCATCTACAAAGAGTTCGATGATGTAGAGCTAGCCACTTGCACAAATGATTATAAAAAAATAATCCTTGTGAGGAAGGCCGACTTAAACGTGGCAGAAGTGATAGACCTACAGGGGGGGACCAATAGACCACCCTTTCAGATCAGGGCGAAGACGCCCATAAAGGCAATCAACAGCAGCCCCAAGGATAGCCACCTTGTGCTGTACTGCCAGTACAAGCCGCAGGTGTCACCGCACAATTTGTTCCTATATAGGATTGGTCAGGCGGCTGCAAAAAAGAAGAACAGGAATAAGCAGAACAAGCAGACTAATCAGAGCAATCAGCCCAATCAACCTAATAAGAAGGACAAAAATGGTGATCGCGTCGGCAAGGGGAACCAACGCGCGGATGATGGAGAAGCCCCGAAAGAAGAAAAGTCCAGCACAACTCCGAAAGGAATCCCCAAAGGAGGAACGAAAACGTCGGGCCAGGGTGACAAAACAGAGGAGGACAGCCACCATGGTTACGGAGGAAGCGGCCAACGGGATAACCTCGACGAACTGCCCGTGCGTGTGGACACGCTCAAAAGTTATAGCAGCAAGATGTGGCCCTTCTACAAGTGGAGCCAAAGCGAATCCATCTGTGCCATCCGAATCAATAATGACATTTATGTGTACAGGGAAAATAACTTCACATCGTACGTAAGTAGACTCTCCCTGGAGAATCTCGAATTTTTTGATGTGTCCCCTGAGCAAAGTAATAAAAAGGGAGTGCTCCTCGCCACGTACGAAAGAGGGGGTAAAGGTCAGCCATCCGTTTTTAAGATTTTTAACTCTTCCGATTGGAAGAACCATGTTTATACGAAGACCTTTTTCAACTCAGATGAGATGAAGCTCAAGTGGAATAAAAATGCCAGTGCAGTGCTGCTAAATGTACACACACAGGTGGATAAAGAGAAGCAGTATTACTACGGATTGAGCAACTTATTTTTTATCGACACGGATAAGTTTACAGAGGTGAATATAATGACAGATCGAGGGCAAATCTATGATTGCATCTGGTCCTATAATCAAAACAAGTTTTATGTCTGCAAAGGAGACATCCCGGCGGAGATTGTTCTTTACGATAAATCTGCCAATATAGCTCATTCTTTTGGCAGGCATAAATTTAACACCTTAAAATTGAATTGTTCAGAGAAGTTGCTTCTAACTGGTGGGTTTGGAAACCTAAGTGGAGATATCACCTTATGGAATACTTCCACGAAGAAGGAAGTTACCAGAACGAAAGCATCTTGTGCAGTCATTTGTGAATTTTTTAATGATGGGAAGCATTTCGTGACAGCAACTACCCACCCAAGACTCCGAGTGGATAATCATCTGAAAATCTTTACTCACGATGGATTCATCGTTAGTAGAATCAATTTTGAAGAATTATACCAGGTCATTATTCTTCCTTTTAACAAGATTCCCTTCTCCGAATCAGATGCATCTTTGGGTGTCTTCATGGAAAACTCGAGTCAGCAGATTTATATACATAAGCAGCTAGGTATCGATTCGAAGAAAACTGGCGTTTACCGTGCTCCTGGAACGTCTGCCATTGCAAGCTTAACTCTAAATGGTTTTATGAATGCCAAGAAGCCGACACAGAAACCGGGCAACCAGAAACCTCCGGGTGCCAACTTCGTGCAGGAGCAGAAGAAGAAGGCCCCCCAGAAGAAGAAAAAGAAAAAGAAGAAGAATCCCCAAACGGGGGAGGCCGAAGGGGACGTCGAAGAGGACGAACCGTAGGAATATTACCCCATCGGAGGGGAATCCCAGGAAAGAGGCCATCCCAGCAAAAGGGGAAGAACCATACCATGTGTATTACCCTTCGCATCTGTTAAGGAGCTTCTCACCAACGAGATGGGGCCGTCCTTGGGGGCCCGGGCCTCCTCGCCCGGCAAAATATCCCACCGCGTAAAGAAGTTTCTGAAATAGCTTACCATCCTAATGCATCTTCTTTTTTTTCCCCCCCCCTCTTGGAAAGATTTACCAAATGGAAATACCTGGTTGACGTCACCTCAATGATGTGATTCTCTCCCTTTTTCCAAATGGACTAGTTCGATGTTCTTATTGGAGGAAGGGGCAAATATATGATAATCTGCCGCTCCACTCAGCATACCATCGTATCATTCACGTTACGGGGACTGCTCAGCGGTGGATAGGTAGCTTCTGCCATCACCCTTAAGAATGACCAGCCTAAAATTAACGTAACGGGGAAAGGGACCGCCCCAATAAGACAAACATGCACAAAATTGTGACGGGGGCGAAGCTGCCATTCGCTCATGTTGGGTGCAGCCATATCGTATACAGAGGACGCCTTGGGGCAACAGCACGGATAGAGCTTCTCCATCTCGCCGGCACTGCTTCACCCCGCCGCTTCCCTTTTCATTTCACTGCTAATTAGATGATAGGTGGATGGTTTAAAAGTTGAGCAAAATATACTTCTATATATGTGTGATTATAAAGAAGGCGAAAATGAGGAAAGCGTTGTTTTATATATATACGTGCGTGGCGTGCACACATGCATATAGCATACATGGTAACATGGACACACGCGTGCATGTGAATACATGCGCATTGTGCTGGGCGTCCCGCCTGCCCGGCATGCGTGGGGTCAGATAAACAATTAGGAGGAAAAAATGAAAAAAAAAATTCATTTAATTTAATTTAGCCTTCCAGCCACAAAAGTTAAACCAAGCTATGCAAAAAACCAAAAAAAAGAAAATATGTGATGAATATGTAACTGTTTGTACCTCGGGCACACACTCGCTGCTCCCTTCGATCGAATCGCTTGATCCGTCTGGTAGTTGTCTCTGCCGCTTCTGCTGCTCCTCTGTGGGTGCAACTCTTTCTTGGTTTTACATGTCCACGTGCGCGCCCATATATCTGCCTAGGTACAAGAATTCATGCTTACGTGCTTGAGAATGAACATACAACGGCACAAACATGCCTGACGCCAAAAATTGGGCAGGGGGAAAAAAGCGAGCCTACTTTCGTTACAACTGCGCGTCCTTACTCAGAGCTCTAACCACGGGGAAGGAATCTCGAACACACGCTGCATTTAAAATAGGGTTATGCCGCTTTTTTTCTGCATGGCGAAGCGGAGTCCTTCCCATGGTTAACGAGAAAAGGGGCGCAACGTGACGAAGTGAGCATTGGTTTTCCCTTCTCAATTCTCACTTTTGGCACGTAAAACTGTCTTAGTTAAAATTGGGCATCTTTCTCCATGCGCTGATGGCCTCTGCTTTTCCTTTTCTGGGGATTACTAAATGGCGCGCGAAAGTGCCGCGTGAGAGTGCCGCATGAGAGTGCCGTGTGAGAATGCCGCGCGAAAATTCTGCGCGAGAATGCCGTGTAAAGTGTCACTCCATTTCTTTTGCCTCATTCGTTCGATTCGTCCTGCTGGACCACTTGTCTTTTTTTTTTCTCCGTTTTATAAATTGTGTCAGTGTTATTTTGTATCCCTCTTGGGGCGAAGGGTTCCATGCAGTTTGCGGTGATAGCGCCGCTTTGGGGATGGCTCCTCCATAGGAGGAAAGGCCGCTTCACCTGGGGAACGCCGCTCCACCCGGGGAACCCCTCTCACTGCTGCGCGCAGGCCACTCTCTGACCCTCCATCTCGGGCTGATGATCTTCGTCCTCGTAGGCATCCTGCTGCTGCTGTTTTGTGAGTCTCTGTTTGAGATATTCTTTGTCGACTGGCTGGCATGTAACAACTTCACATTCGCTTTTTTCCAAATCGTACTTCTTCTCAATTTCATTCTGCTTCTTTAGAATTTTCAAAACTTCTTTCTTCTCATTTGTTATGATTAAATCCATGGGGTACTCCACCTCGAAGGTGATGTACAGGTTGCCCTTCTTAAATGGATCCTTATACGTTGGCATTCCCTCTTCCGCGATTTCTCTTATGTCTCCATGTCTGACAAATCCAGAGTTTGTACAGTCCACTAAAATTTTCCTTTCATCCAAGTGCATAATTTCTGCAACAAAACCGGTTAGCGATTCGTACAGGGAAATCTTATGTGAGATAAACAAATCGACCCCCTCTCTCCTAAATAGCTGATGTGGCTTCTCATTCAGTATGACGACAAGATTTCCTGTAATGACATTTGGTTTTTCATCTGCTTCTCCATTGAATACAATTTTATGTTTATTTGGTGCTCCCTTTGGAATATACACTTCGATAATTTTTCTTGTCTTTAAAACACATCCTCCTTTACAGTTTGCACACTTATCCTTTTCGTTAAATATTTTTCCCTTTCCTCTACACCCATTGCAGGTCACTTCAGTCTGATGTAATACACTGGAGTGATACCTCATATACGTCTTTGTTCCTCTTCCGTTGCATTGCTTGCAGTCCACTTTGGCATCCTTTGGTCCTCCATGACCTTCACAATTGGCACATAAAACATCTTTACTTATGGCTAATTTTTTTGTCGCGCCGCTGTATAGCTGCTCCAGAGTTACCTTAACTTCGCTTACAATATCTTCTCCTCTCTTTTTCTTTCCCTTTCCTGCATTCAGTATGAAGTCAAACAGGTCCGTCGGCTCGGTTGGCTGTTCTCCATTTTCCAGGCCTTCCTCTCCGTACTCGTCGTACAATTTCCTTTTTTCCTCATCAGACAGAACTTCGTATGCTCTCGAGATCTCTTTAAATTTCTCTGGGTCTCCTCCCTTATCTGGGTGATGTATTATAGCTAATTTTCTGTAAGCTTTTTTTACTTCATCTGTGGTGCAGTTTTTCTTTAAATTCAAAGCTTCGTAATATTTTGAATTGTTCACCTGAGGGGATGGGCGAAAATGAAAAAAAAAAAGGAAAAAAAACAAATTTGTATGAACTGTTCAGGCGTTTTATTTATTTTATTTTTTTATTTTTTTTTTTTAGCTAGCTACTCATCCGTTCGAGTGCAGTGCGGTGTTTTCCACTCGTGCGCCGCAAAAAAGGGGGCACGTTGGAAAATGTGGAAAAGAACAAAGCGGGGGAGCGGCAATGTAGCGGCTCGGTGTTTCGTATAGCCACGTTTGACTTTTCCACATGCACAGCCTTAAGGAGGAGCGCGTCACACAGTGCGGCGTTTCCATCTATGTACGGACGCAGCATGGGACGTGTTAACGAAACTTGTTCACGCGGGATGCAGTCCCGCAGGACAAGATTACATGTATGTACGTGTATGTACATGCTTGAATAGGGGGAGGGGTGGGTAACTTAGTAAAAGGAAGCACTTTTCCAAGTATGTTACAAAGGCGTCCTTCTATATGTATGCAAATCTCAGTGGGTGAATTTCCCCCGCTGGGCGCCTTCGCATATCTCCTCTCTCTGCCGCTCACTCCGCTCCTGCTTACTTCTCTTTTCCTACGGGTCTGTTGCCCGCCCATAGAATCAAAGGGGAAACCAGAAGAGAAAAACATTTTCCACTTTCTTAAATGTAAGGAATGTGAAGAACTGTACTTTTTGTAAAATTATCAGCTTTTGGAAACTCTACAAATGATAACTCTTTGAGTTATATGCCACGGAATTCGTATGGCTGTGTTTTTTAGGAGAAAATGTTAACGCAATTTTTTTTTTCGTAGGATGGATGATCGATGTACGTTTTTCTTCCTCTTCTTCCTTTCTTTTAAGTGTTTCTTTCTGGTCGCGCGTTTTTTTCTCCTTTTTTTTTAATTTGGCTTTGCTCAAATGGTACGTGTTCACGTTTGTGTTCGTGTACAAATAAGCATGTAACTCATGTAGCACGAAATGTATGTAAGCTTATGTATGTATCATGTATGTATGTATTATGAACGTATTATGTACGCATGTGGGGGGGATATCCCTGCTAAGAATAAGCATGTATATATATAATATATATATCAACGTGTTACGTATGCGTAAAAATGCTAAATAGTATGTAGGCGCTGGCAGGCTGGCATCAACAATGGCTTATGCAGTGTACGTGAATATTTTCACTTTTTAATTTTTTTCCCTCCTTTGGTTTTTCCTCTTCTTGTTTTCTGGCTCTTCTTGCTTTTATTATTTTTTTTTATTTTTTTTTTTTTCTTGCCATTTGATGTTCATGGCTATTTCGAAAAAAGCGCATGTTGCAGCTGATTGGGGGGCCATTTATTTTTTTTAAAGCCCCTCTCCCCCCTCAGCGCTTCCACGGATGTAGTCGTAACAGTACCAGTCGTAGCAAGTAGTAGGCTCCTTATAAATGGCAAGAAACGCTTGCACGTGCATAGGCAGACGGGAATAAAGGAATGTTACCCTCGCGGCTAGGTGGATATTGGTTGACGAAGGAGAACATCCGAGGATATATTATGTCGATTTCCATACACTTATGTTATGTACGCCTCAACTAGGAAAAACATGGGCCTATTTTTTTTTTTTTTTTTTTGCCACTTTATATTATGCTACATATTTATACCGCCCCCCTTTATGCTGATGCAACACTGTACGTATGCATATGTACTTTTCGAGTGCGTGTATTATGTAAAAGTCACGGTGGATTCTTTTAAAAGCGCTGAGGAAGAAAGTTACGCATGGACTTTCATTCGTTTGACGGCAACTTGTCCGCATAAGCGGGGACATAGGAAGAACCGCGCAATGAAATGTGCAAATATGAATACATATGTATGTATCTCTATGCATCTCCCTGCATGTGTGAATGGCACGGTGGTGTGCCTAGCATCAGCACATGCTTAATCGCGCTTGCACCAACTTGTTTTATTTTTTTATTTGCCACATCCTACGGTGGAGAAAAAAATTCAAACTTGACGTCGGTCCCCCCTCTCGTGATAAAATCACATTTGGCAGTTCTGTTCGTCTTTGAGAAAAAGCACCCGTTTGGTGGAAATAGACCTTTTTTTGTCCCACTAGGCAACATATGCCGCCTCGTTGGTGGTCACGTTTGGCACCACGTTAGCAGCTGCGTTCACGCAACATGGTCTCTGAGGCACGCGAAAGGTTATCTTTCCTTTCTCCACCGCTTTTCCCACCAAAAGAAGTTTCAATTTTTCCCTGTTAAGCGGCACAGCGGCATAGCGACACTACTCCTGCACGCACGTATGCACAACTTGTGTTTGATAAAAAAAAAAAAGGCTTGGCGAAAGGGAAGGTGGCCATATGTGTGCGCAGTTCTTTTCCGCAAAAAAAAGAACCAAATGGTAAAAATGGCAATCCGGGTGTAGGCACGCATATCCCCATACTTTGTTCAGCATGGCTGGATGAGACCATGAGAAGTTTTCTTTTTTTTCTTTTTTTTCTTTTTTTTCTTTTTTTTCACAAATGGCGACTTCCTTCTTATGGGGAGTGCATTCCATGGGTATACGCCTTGTGAAGGGTACACAAGCGACGCATATAGGGGCATAGAAGAATATACAGGCATAGGGGTATATACCTTACAGGCATAGGGGTATATACCTTACAGACATAGTGGTATATACCTCCATACCTATAATTAAATGCAAATTGGAGAGGGCACCAAGTGAAAACCGCCCTGGAGTAACGTCGAAATGGGTGAAGTACATTTAGACGACTCACTTTTTACACACCTGTTCTGTTGGGCGACCACCTCCATAAGTGAAGCGCACATTTCGGCTGCCCTCCTCTCGGATAAAGAAAGACTTTACTGATCACCCCAGTCTTCCCAAATGAACGGAGAGATAGAGACTGTCCATTCAACCCTTCCCATCCGAGTTGTACACCTTTGCAAAAAAGTTTTGAATTTTTCTTTTTCTTTTTATTCCAACTCCTTCATCATCCATGTAGGAAAATTGAATAAGCAGAGGTGGGTAGCTTCCCACTTTGGTACTTTTTAAATGCCTCCTTGCACATTTGCTCAATTTCTATGCGGAATAAAAGTTGGTTAGTTATAAGGGGAGGGAGGGGCAGACCGGGTATGCGGAATGTGATTCGATTGAGTGGAACACCTCTCAGCCATTTCTACACATAAGCAGCATAATGTTAAAATTTAATCCGTCGTGCATTTTTCCTTAATTTGAAAGGTGCGGGTGTTGTTCTTATGCTTGTCTCGAACAATAGGGCAGACACACGCTAAAGTGACAGATTGGTGCAGGTTAGCTCTGTTACTAAGTGCGAAGAAGCCAATGGATGGGAGAGCCGAAATGGAGTGTACACCCCGGCCGCTGCCAATTTGTGGGAATGGAGAAAGCTAATTTTGGTGTACACCTGTTTCGTTAGGCTGCCTTCTAGTGGCGCTATATTTGTTCGACTCGCCGCCGTCTTGATAATTTTTCCTGAGTTGTTCAGGCGAAAAAGAAAGCTATTTATAAAAGTATTGAAAAAGTGATTACATATAGGTTAATACATTGTGCGGACTAGGTGAGGAGAGTCGCCCGCCCTCCTCTCTGGAGTCGCTGCGACCTTTTTTCTTTCCCCCTCCGCAGAAATGTGCCAAATTGTTTTCATAACCCGTGGGGCGAAGTGAAAAAAAATTAGATCGCTCACCGTACGGCTAGGGTAGCGTTAGCAGGGCGCCCACATGAATGGACTCTCCACCCATGGTGCAGTTAAGGCATAGAGAGAGAAAAAATCCACGCTGGGGAGAATCCCGCGGGATGGCTTACATTCATAGGGAGGCAACAATAAGTTAGAAGTTTTTTCTTTTTTTCTTCTTTTCTCTTTTTTTTTTTTTTTCTTTCCCTTTTTCAAATTCATCTTCAAAAGGGCACAAAAGGTGCGTGCTGACGAAGCCGTTGTTTTCTGTTCACGCGAAGGAGAGAGGGGCTTCCCGATTAGCCGCCCCTCGTTGTGCTCCTCCTGAGGTTATCCCCAAATAGGAAAGCCCTCGTCGTTGCACTGCTTTTCTTTTGTGTCCAGGAAGGGCAACATCGCGCCTAAACATTGCATAGCAGAAATATACGACGTAGAGGGAGGGAAAAGTAGCACAGATAGGCTGCTACATACGCGCAGGGACGACAGACTTGAGAAGCCCCCCGGCCCCCCTCGTAGGAGGGTCACCATAAATATTTTTGCTACACACGATCGCTTAATACAAAATGGAGAAGGGGAAAGACCCAGTGAAAATAGAACTTAACAGACCCCCCCAAGAAGTCAGCCTGAGCGCATTCAGCATTCTCTTTAGCGAAATAGTGCAGTATTGCTTATGGAAGAGTAAGAGAGGATATCGAATTGAAGACTCCCTACATGAGATGGGCCTCCGAGTTGGCTATAAGCTAAACGAATATCTACCATACAAGAATAAAACGAAGAGGTGTGTAAGCATTATAAGCATTTTAACCTTCCTGTCAAAGCATTTGTGGAAATATCTATTTCAGCACTCTTCCGATTTGCTCAAGTCACAAGATAGCATTTACGAATACATGCTCTGCGATAGAAACATTTTACTAAACAGATTTATTAGCGTGCCGAAGGATTATGGAAATATTAACTGCGCTTCGTTTGCAGCTGGCATCGTAGAGGGGATGCTATGCAGCTCTGAGTTCCAGGCAGAGGTCACAGCACACACGGTGTATGAAGACGACAAGAATTTCAACACCACGATTTTTATCAAGTTCTATCCGGAGGTTGTGGACAGGGAAAGGAGTCACTGATTTTGGAGGGGAGGGACTGACATGAAGGGAAAAATTCTTTTTTGTTAAGAGGCTCGCATATGGGCTTCTCCACGTGGCTACCTTTTCTTTGCGTTGCTCATTATTTTTCTGTATTATGCTGTATTTTTCTGTTCTTTTTTTTTTTTTTTTTTTGATGAAATTTCCAAATGGGAATTTTCACACCAGCGGAAATTCACTCCAGGCGCTCTGAGCAAACTCACGGCGAGCGGCGTTGCGTGGCGATAATGCGCGTACCCGGCCACGTCGTCCGCAGCGTTATCCTCCGCATTGTAAGCGATATCATCCAGTATAACTTCCCCCCCCCGTTTGTGACGCCCATTTACACACGCAGCGACAGAACAATACCTACACAAGAGTATCCCACCCGAGGGACCCGTCCCCCCCCCCTCTTCCCTTTTCATGCACAAAAATTTGTACACCTCGTTTTGGGAAGTGAAAACTCCCTTGCGCGAGGAGTGTCATATGAGTCGGTCATTTCTGCTGTGTGGTTAAAAAATTTGGGAGATTTGTCCCCCATATGTTTGTCCTATGTGTAGGAAAATTCCTGCGGTTGGGGAATAAATCGGGGGCAGCGAGAGAAGGGGTGAATGTCCTCTTCGAGGGACGTCGACACAGGGATGGTCCAAAATTTTACATTCACGTGGGAAAAGAGAAAAAAAAAAACACATGAACATACGTACGAGAACACATTCTGACATGCGTACATGTATGCCAAATGCAACATCGGCGGGCTCAGAAGCCGACCCGCCCTCTTGGCGAGCCTTATTCAAACCAGTTCATCCCCCCAATCGGCCTCGACGGTTTGTTTCCCCCAGCTGTGGTGAAAAATGAGGGATCACACCCCCCAGGGCCCCTTCCACCTTATCGGCCGTACTGGGTTGATAAAATGGTAATTTTATTCTACGCGGTGCCACATGGTACTCGACAGCGGGGCTATACCCACATGTACGATACGAAATTTGTATGCACCTTCAGGCATCACCACAGTCGCACATACGTACAGAATTGGAACCAACCGCTCTCCTTTTCGAGAATGGATTCTCCTCAACGGTTGATTGCGTGCATATAAAGTAAAGTCATGAATCGATCGCTTGGGGATGCTACTTCTCATCAGGCACTACTTCATGTCCCTACAAATGGGCATTTCTCAGCAAAAAAAAAAAAAAAGGAACCAATGCGGGAAATAAGAAAGTAGAGGACAAAAGAAGCAGTAGGGAAAAGCAGTGCCCAAAAAAACCTAAGGAGAAAATTCCATATAGCGTATGCCCCAAAATGAACCCATTTTCCCTTTTCACGTAAAAATTATAAACATGAAAATAAACCATCAGATCAGTGTTGCCCTTCCTGTTCGTTTCACTTAAGAGGAAGTGACCCCCCTTTCCCCCAAAGAGGCTCTCTCATCAGCTAATGACGCAATTGCGCATTAGCATCTGTTTAGTTCTGTGCTGCCATTAAGTGAGATTGATCGTTTGCCATTTTGCGTAATCTTTTTCATTTTTCCATCACCCCTTTCAGTACACAGTGCAGTTTTTTTTTTTTGCTTAGCTCATTTGGCAACTCTCCTGCAACGATGTGTTCTGGCAAGCTTCCATTTCTCATGTGCTGGTGTTTTTGCTTCCTCCCCCCTCATTCTCGCTTTAGCGCGCTATATAGTAGAAGATAGAAGCGCAAAGAGGGCACCCTCTGGAAGTTACTACATAGATTATAATCATTCATGTGAAGGAAGTTTTTCTTTTTTTTTTTTTTTCTTTTTTTTTTTTTCTGGGAGGCGAAAGGAAGAATGCGCCTTCCACACACGTTGTGCACGGTGGCATATACACATAAGAGTTAAAAAGAGAGGTCTGATCCACCCATTCAAAAGATAAGTGAAGCTCAGATCAATACACCTGGCGAGGTGTGTCACCACCCACTTGTCCGTTACCTATAGCTGCTTTTTTGTATTATTCCCCTCTCCACAGAGTATGCCTTTGCAAAGCTGTGTTTTTCCGCCCCGCCACTTTCTTCTATCTCCCTTTTTCGATTAGTTACATTTGGTGATTTCCACAGTTGCACCGCTGGAGCAGGGCGACCAGAATAAGAGGGCTTCTCACGTTGGAGGGGGTATCATATACTCCCCAACTGCTTCTACCGCTGCTGCTTCCTCTGCTGCTTCCTCTGCTGCTTCCTCTGCTGCTTCCTCTGCTGCTCCCGCCGCTTCTCCCGAAATGATTCTAACCAAGCACAGCAGGAAAGTGGCCTCGCTGCGCCACTACTACAGCGTGTGGGTGGGATACAACAAGAATGTGCAGCAGGCGGGGAATTTCAAGAACAGCCTGAACTGTCTGTTCAAGCCAAAGAGCATCGGTGTGATCGGAGCGACGGAGAGAGTCGGCTCCGTAGGAAACTCGATCGTCAAGAATCTCATGAAAGGAGAAGGAACGTACAAATTATACTTTGTTAACAGAAAGGGAGGGAAGGTGTACGATCGAGATAGCTACAAAACGGTTGGAGACATTCCTGAGCAAAATATCGACCTGGCAGTGATAGCCGTTCCAAGGAACCACGTGCTAGGAGTCATGAAAGATTTGAGTGGGAAAAATGTAAAAGCCGTAGTAATCGTAACTGCTGGGTTTAGAGAAACGGGTTCAGAAGGAATAAAGCTAGAAGAGCAAATCGTAGATGTAGCGAAGAAGAATGCGATCCGAATTATAGGACCAAACTGTCTAGGAATTATCCACTCGTATCACAATATGAATGCTTCCTTTGCTGACAATGAGATATTGAAAGGGAATTTTTCTTTGCTATCCCAGAGCGGAGCGATCTGTTCGGCTGCCCTAGACATGTCTCTACAACACAACATCGGATTTTCTCACTTCATTTCGGTGGGTTCTATGTGCGATGTGCAATTTTACGAATTAGTGGAGTATCTCTTTTACGATGAGAACACAAAGTATATCCTACTGTACGTAGAATCCATCGGAGATATGAACAAATTTGTAGCCGTCTGTAGGAAGGTCTGTCTGTACAAACCTATTATCCTTTTGAAGAGCGGAAAAACAGCCAAAGCAGCAGAGGCAGCCATTTCACACACGGGTTCTATGGTAGGAAATTACGAAATATTCTATGCATCTATGAAAAAATTAGGAGTTCTAGTGGTAGATAATTTCGAAGAATTATTCAATATGTGTAAAATACTTAACCTTTCCAGTTATCCAGAGACGAATGAAGTATGCGTGGTGACCAATGCAGGAGGGCCAGGGGTCCTTCTCGTCGATAACATTATGAAGAATGATGGGAAGTTATCCGATCTCAATGCCGATTTGAAGAAAAAGCTAGATGCATTTCTACCCCCTTCGTGGAGTAAGGCAAACCCGGTAGACATGCTTGGAGATGCTTCCCCATTGATGTATAAAAAAACGATCGAAGCCCTACTAAAAGATGAGCAATTTAAGAATATCATAATTCTACTCTCTCCACAGAGTGTTACTGAACCTATGAACACTGCAAAGGAGATCATCAACGTGAAGGAAGACATAGCGAAGCAGGGAAGACTCATCCTATGTAACTACCTCGGAGGGGTATCCCTGGAGGAATCGACGAACCTTCTAAATAAGAACAGCATCCCCACATTTGTTCACCCTGAGCATTCCGCACAGAATTTGCTTAAGCTGTATAAAAATATCATCCACATTCAGAATCTGTATGAGGAAATTCCGCCCTTCTTGGCAGATGCAGAACAGAATCATTATGTGAATGGGATCATTTATAAGCACCACTTTGGGAGCACAGTGAAGGGGGGGTACTCACCAGTGGGCCAAAAGGAAGGAGGCAGAATACAGCAGAGGAGCAGGGCTACCCCAGAAGGGATAATCCAAAACGCATTGAAAGAGCAGAAGTACATTTTAAATGAATTTGACTCGAAGGAGATTCTTCAAACCTACGACATACCAACCGTTCCAACAGAGGTCTTTCACACCCTGGAAGAAATAGAAAGTAATATTGCCAATGTCAGCTTTCCGTGTGCAATGAAAATATACTCAGATACGATTACGCATAAGAAGGACATCGGGGGAGTGATCCTAAACATAAACTCTAAGGAAGAACTCATCCAATCGTATAAAGCCATTCATGAGAGCGTAAAAAGGCATAACCTAGAAAGTGAATTCAAAGGAGTCACCATCCAGACCATGATAAACACGAATGACGGAATTGAGTTAATCTTAGGCTACTATTTTGATGCGAATTTTGGACCCGTTTTGCTGTTCGGCTCAGGGGGGTCCTACGTAGAGATATTTAAAGACAATGTTTTGCTCATCCCCCCTCTGACTTATTCGTATACCCACCACCTGATGAAGGAGACAAAGATTTATCATGCGTTGTTGGGAAAATCTTCCAGGTTTAAGAAGTGTGATATACCAAGGCTGATCAGCAAGATTATTAACTTTTCGGACCTCATTCTGGATCTCCTTCCCTACATCAACGAGTGTGATATTAACCCATTGTTCGTTTCGGGCAGTGAGATCGTCGCGTTGGACGCTAGGTTCACTCTCCGCAAAGATCTGACCGCGGATTCGTTCCAGTCTGCCAAGAGGAACCCCCTCTACAGCAGCTTTGCGAAGAGGTACCCAGTCGAGATGGTCTTCTTTGATGGGGAAAGCAGCAAAAAGGGAGAAGCATCCCAGACACAGGAAGAGAAGCCGCTGCAGCAGACGCAGCAGCAGACGCAGCTACACCCGGAGGAACCGCAACAGAAGGAGGTCCCCTCCTATGAGGAAGCTACCCCACCAGTGCACCTCCCCAACGAGTTCGCTTCCATCACTAGGTGCATCCACCCCTACGATGTGAAATTTATGCACGCCTTCCTCCAAAACAACGCCAAAGAGTTACACAAGAGTACCTTCTTCTTCACCACGGAGGAAAGCATCAAGACGAAGCTCTTCGCCTACGAGCTATGCAATGCGGACTACGACGTCTACAATGTCATTCTGCACTTGCAGAATAACAAAGTTACTGGATTGATCAAAACAGAGAAGAAACAACACTCCAACCACTGCTATACTTATGCAACCGATGCAGCCACGTTTACTCACTTGATTCAGAAGCTACATGCTTTTTCGAGCAGGCAAAATTGCACGTCCAACTTTGTCTACCTTAAGAAGGATTCCCCCTTTGTGGAGAAGCTCAAATCCATGTCCTACGTCCTGGACTACGAACAGGGGGATATACTCTGCTACGTCGGCGCTACCCAAACGGGCCAGTGAGGCTCACGCGGTTAAGCGGATAAGCAGTTACACGGATAGACAGTTATACGGTTAAGGAGCTACGCAGCTACACAGGAACGCAGTCATGTGGCAGATAAAACCCCGTCAGCGCATCCTCCTTCCAGCATTGGGGACCCACCCACAGTAAAAAAAAAAAAAAAAAAAGAAGAGTTGAGAGCGTGCGGAGCCTCCCCCCCCCGTGAAAAAAACTGCGCACATTTTCAACTTTTCCCATTTTAAAGTAAAAACATTGCGCAGACTGTTGCATGTGGAACGGTTAACTGGGTGGTGGCCCGTCACTCGCAATGCGAGGATAAGCTAAGTTAGGCGAAGTTAAGTTAAGCTAAGCTGCATTAAGCTACGTTAAGCTACGTTACCCGAACTTCATTAGCCTAATCGCAGCCCACTTCGGATGGTTCGATCCTCGGCGCGGGGAAAACTGCGCGGGGGGGACCAACCGGATGTGACAAAAAAAAAGTGCAGTCCCAAAGTGACCCCTATGAGGAAGGCAAACTTGCTGATCTCGTTCTAGGGACGGTTTTACAACAAAAGGGGGACTTTCCGATTCGTGTTGGTACTTCCGCATGTGGTGGTCTACCCATGGGATGTGAGTCCACTGACAGCCTCGCCTCCAGGGTAGACCATCTGCACAGCGTGGGTCCCCCCGTAGCGCCTGTGCAGAATGTTCGCGCGCAACTTCACGCTGAGCAGCAAGTCCTCGTAGCGGCCTACATCGGATGCAAAAAAATCATTCCGATTCAGGTAAAAATAAATCGTATTGTTACTCTTCCCCTGCAAGTAGGACGAACTAGCACACCTGATGATTTTTAATTTTTCAAAACTTAAGTTGTCATAGGAGGATGGCAAAAGGGACAGGCATTCACTGTGCAACAGGTCATTGTGTAATTTCAGCAGTTTGGGATTCTTTTCAATCGCCTCTTGGTGATATAAAAAACAGTCGTATAAGATTTTCATCTCGTTGATGGTCGCGTTTTTATACACATACTGAAGGGCCAAAAAGATTTCCTGTGCAATTTGTTCCAGTTCTGGGGAGTGCCCGCTTCTACCTGTCTGTTCCCCCTCCATGGTCAGCAGTGTGCACACATAGAGAAGCTTAATTAAGGACGACGTATCGTACAGATGTAGATAATCCAAAACGCACACGCTGAGGAGATGCTTGAGTGTACTTTTCTCCCCGTAATTTAGCAGCGTGAGTAGCAGCAGGTGGAAGGGCAAGAAGTGGAGAATGTACGGATTGTAAATGTTCAGGGGGGGGCGCTTGTTGTTGGAGTTCTCCCTAACGTGGTTTTCTGCCGCAGGTGCAAACTGTTCCTCCTGCTGCTTAACTACCCCATCGCAGTTCTCCCCCTGCCCCGCGACATACAAATTTTTCCCTTCCAAAGATAACTGCTCATTTTTGTTATTCACAAAATTCTCCATGTTAATGATGACCAAGTCGAATAATCCTTCATGTCTCAACTTCGACGACAAGAGTAGGAGAAGCACATAGGAGATATTCTCTGGAGGCAATAACTTGATCTTATTCATTTTTTTCTCAAACTGGGAATGTATATATGTGTTTTCTTCTAACCCTAACCTTTTATATGCACTTAGAAATTTTACGAAATCTTTGAAGCTGCAATTGTTGCTACTGCTATGCAATTGCTTGACCTTCCTGTTCACCAGATCGATGAGTACCTCATGGGAGGTATCCAATCTGCTACATGCCTCAAGCACTGTGAAACCATCCTTATCGTAATAATCGTAGTTGGTTACAATTCTGTTCATAATATTGGCAGAGGTATCTGCATCCACGTACAGGTAAGACACATTTTTAACTATCGAGACTAACTCATTTTTGTAATCATTTATGTTGCTATTCAGCTGCGACAGAAGTGGTGATTTCACGACTGGATGGTGGAGATTTAATTGCTTATAAACGTTGGTCATTATTTTTACCCTTCGACAAGAGCGAATGTTAAGTAGGTCGCTCACTCTGTTGGAGACAACTCCAAGTAGGGTCTCATTTGAGTATTTTAACTTGGCGTAAATTTCTAATATCTGAATCAGCTGAGGGGGGAAGAAGTCTTCACAGAAATCGTACACATGGTCGGTAATCGTCTTCACCACTTCGGGGTCACACCTCCGTTGCCTGCTTATGCCGATCAACAGTTTTATGACCTGTTCAGGCGTTTTGCTTCCTATGTTCAGAAGGTGGTCGTACTGCCAGTACACGTCACTCTCTCGATGAGTGTGCTGGGGATTCATGGCATACCGTTGATATGTCTCCCCCTCGCTGCAGGAGTTGAAGCTGCGCGATCTGGGGAGTTGCCCCCTTCGGATTTTCAGGCGCCTCCCCACTCTGCCCGGGAGAGCGGCCATCGGGGGGGGTAGGCGGTGAAGAGGTGGTTCAGAGGCGGCGCGGAAGCGAAGGGCAATATAGCGATGTCGCGATATAGAGGTGTACGTCCCTAACGGCGTAATTACCCTTGAGAGGGTCCCTCGCAACGAAAAGGAAAGCGCCGTAGCATCAGCGCGGTAGGATCATCGCAGCACCCGCTGTTCACCACTTGGCACGAACCCAAGTTCATACTCATATTACCCCGTAGCCCTTTAAAAACGCAACCTGTCAGCACCACGGGGGATGAATTCGTATGACCAAATGAGAACACCATATACCATGATAGTTAAATAATCCAAGGAGAAAAATTGCGCACCGTACACGCAGGCTAATTTGACAGCTTAACCGTTGCGTAACTTCTATGCTGGCAGCCCCGCTCTGTCACCTTTTCCTCCCCCTACACAATAGTGCACATATTAGCGTATGCGCCAGGGGCGAGAAGCCATGATAATACCCCTCGACTGATTATTTTCCTCTACATTCATATTATCCATTCCAAGTGACATTTTGACAATCCCTTTAGCCCTGCGAAAGAGTCACGAATGCAAGTGTGCCTTAGTGTGTAGTGAGCTTTTTTTGTGCATTTTTTTTGTCCTCCTTGGACCCTCCGTGTCGTCGCAGCTTTACCCAGCTAGCCATTTTGTGGGATTTTTTTTTTCTTTTTTTTTGTGCAGGTAAAAATGGCACACGTAAAGATTAACGAATTGGCTAAATGTCGAAATGGTGAAATGCTGAATTGACCATCCATAACCTCCTTCCACGGGTAGCCCGCAACTGAGCCAACGGCGTACACCTCCGTAGGAAAAACAATAACACCGTTAATCCACCAATTATAAATTGTTTAGTTTGTTGAAGAAGGTCCATTCTCTTTCGTAAAATGCACACAAATGTTCGATGAGAACATGTAGAAGGTAGAGAAAACAGGTGCGGCAGGGAAGCCACGCCGCGATGTTGCAAAGTAAGCACTACGAAGGGGGGCCACTCTGTGTACTTGTGCCAAGCAAATTTGTTAAACTCGACGTGCACCATCTTGGGCGCACTGACGATCTGGTCAAAGGTAAGGGGGGTCACATGGACGCATGAATACACATGCACGTCCGGACGTAGGCACATTCGTGTCGAAAAACGAATTTTTAAAATTACAATAAAACGAATGGGGTTTAAAACAATGTGGATTAATAGGGGGGTAAAGCAGCGCGGCAGGGACGGCACAAGGGAGACCCCTTAGCCGCGCATTTGTCGAATCGGCACGACAGCATAAAAGTGAAAAGCAATGACGAATACGAGACACAGGAAAAAAGACAAATGCAGGGGTGGCTGCTAAATTATGCAATCCTTTCCAAGTGGAAAAATGACACAATGGCAAAATATGCCAAGGTAAGGGGGGGATACTGCCAAGGGGAAGGGGCTGGAAGCCGAAACAAATCACGCCACACTAGCTAGATAAATTAAGTAATCGAACCACGTGGCAAGGGTGAAGAGTGAACTCCCCACGATGTACATATAACAAGCTGGACTGTACCAGCCGGGGAAATAAAAAAGAAGGCTGGCAAGCGTAAACAAAAATCCCCCAATTAAATTGGACACATAAACAATCAAAACCTTATAATCCACGCTTTTTATCTTGTCAAAATCCATGGTATTAATAAAATACACGGCTCCAATGAGGAAGAAAATACTTCCTACGACGAAGTTTGTAATTCCGAAGTAGTCGTCCTTAAAAGTGGAATAAACTGAACCGAATGTAAAAAGGATACACCCGATTGCGTAACATATATGCCCACGGTATTCTTTTTCCTGTTCGACGCCAGCGTTGAGAGCGCTGATTAAATTGCAATACATACACATGACACAGGCTATGGCAAAAATGATACAGCCAGCTACGGTTAACTTTGGGTAAAGAAAAAATATACTGCCTATTATAAATGAAATCATAGTAACAAAATTGATATGATATTCCCATGGGCACTTCAAAATGTCTGCAATTTTTATATTATTTTTTGCCTTTGTCTGATTGTGTTTGTCTGATGCCATTTTTCCGTTTCCAGGAAATGAACTCTCGCTGTGGGTGAAGAAGCCTAAAGATTTTGTTTTATTTTTTTTTGCATAAATAAATTCCTTCTTTGCAATGTTCCCTTCTTCAATGTCCATCCTCCCCGATTCCGTCGTGGAGAAGCCATCATATTCTTCTCTATCACTCCTTACACTTTTCAGTTCATACATATCTGCTTGTGCGGTCGTTATATGTGTTTTTTTTTTTTTAAATTTTCTTGAACTTGTTTCTTCACTTTGGAATAAATGGAGCGCATTTTCCCTCGTCCACTGCCTTTTGTTTTGTGCCGCGGGCTCCTGCTCTGCGTATGGGACGTACACGTGCTGTGCGTACGGTACGTACATCTGCTGGGGAACCCGGCGCATATGAGGCGAGCACCACACATGTCCATACGTACACGTACATGTGTAACGTAGTTCGATCGCTTTCGCCTTCGTCTCCACGCAGACGAAAATAGCTGTTTGATGAACACACGCGAGGGAGGGGGGGGGACTTACTCTTCCAGTGTTTTTGCTTCTCCCTATGCGTTTCGTTTCTTCTCTTTTTTTTTCCTTTTATCTTTCCCTTTTTTTCTTCTGCCTTTTCTTTTCCTCCCTTTTTTTTTTGCTTTTTCCTGTTTTAATGCGTCCAAGCGGATGCCAAATGTTTATATATATATACTCCTTAGGGGGTACGTCTGCTTGTTCCCGATGAAGCCTCTCGCAATAGTGTATATTTTCTCTTTTTGGATTCCTCTCAGCGGCCGAACGATTTTTCGATTTTGGCACGATGCGGAACAGATCACCACAATGATTTAATTACACTTGTTCACACGTGCGTGTTGGAAAAGAGGTGCCGAGGGGCCCGCGCGCCCAGGAACAGTCAACGCGGAGCGGCGAAGAGGAAGGAAGGAAAAAGAATGTTGTGCCACTGTGCCCATCATGGCAGAGAAGTACTTCGAACTGTACTGTACGCTGCCGGAACGGATGGGGAAAACAATGACCGACCTAGGAAGGACGTGAAAACAATCAGCAAACACCGCAAAATTAAGGCGAAGGCCGAGTTTGTTTGTACGTGTTTTTCCAGCGACTCTCCTTTTATATGGTTATCTTGCTTTTAAAACCGTTGCGAAGGAGAAGCGGGCAAGTGAAAATGTAAAAAAAAGAAAAAAATAAAGAAAAAAAAATAATAAAAAGAAAAAATAAAATAAGAAAAAAAATAAATAAAATAGAATAAAATAAAATAAAAAAATAAAAAAAAAGAATAAAATAAATCAACTTGTAGCGCAACGGCTGCAGGCCAAAATTGCGAATATGTCTGACGCTGAAATGTTGGAATGGAGATAAAAATAAAAAAGTCCAGAAGGATTATGTGGTTGTCCTAAAACTTATACCATTTTCAGCTTCTTGACAATTGGTGGAAAAGTGGAAAATATAGCCTGACCTGTTCAGGCAGTTTTTTTTTTGATAAAATTGAGTTAACGCGATTTTCCGTGACTTTTCGGAAAAAAAAAAGGCGAGGAGGGCACTTCGCAGGTAGGAGAAGACGCCCGAATGTATAGAGCGCATGCGCGGGTGCGTCGCTGAGGTTGCGAAAAAGGAGAAAACGGCGGAAAGGCAGGGCGGATTAACACAGATTAAGAAATCAGATTAAGAAAGCAGATTAATAAAGCAGGTTAAAAATGCAGATTTTAAAAACGCAAGTTAACAAAGCAGGTTAACAGAGCAGGTTAACAAAGCAAAGGAAAAAGGCCCCCGTGGGGGATTTCCTAGACGAGGTGGAACCGAATTAGCAAAAAAAGGGAACGGCCTCTTCCCAACGTAGACATTGCAAAGCGCAGCCGAAGCTGCTCAGGTACGAAGAAAGCGTACAAAAATGGAGCTGCTGCGCATTATGGTACATAAAATTTAGAATAACTTTCATGAGGCCCACGCAGGTGGAATTCTCCAGGAGGTATCCAGAAAAGAAAACATTTTTAACATTATATAGTTGGCTGTGAATGTAGGCCTGTTGGGCTGTGTTAAAAATTACGATCGAGAGTAATGACCTGGATAAGTCGCATTCGAATTTGTGGGATGCTTCTTCGTTTTGCTCCTGTTCTTTTTGTTGTTGTTCTTCTTCCCCCCGAAGGTGTTGGTAATCATCCCCATTGCTGCTGTTAAGATAGGATTGGTCAATCTGGCCAGGGTTACCTTCTACATCGTGGTTTCCAAGGTTCACATTTTCCCGCCTGACTTGTTCATAACATTCTGAGGATTTGTTTTTCTTCCCGCCTGTTTTCCTGAGAAATTTGCCTCCGAACAGAAGACGTTCACTTCTTGTGCGGCCTCTATAGCAGGCTACTTCTGAATATACGTTTGGTTCCATTTCCGAATCACTTTGCCATTTCGTGCTCACCATGAGGATATATTTTTTCCTCCAATTTTGTATTTTCCGCTTGGCTAGGCCTCCGTCGTGGGGAACATCTCCATCGCTGTGAGAGTGGAAGAGGAGGGGGCTCATCACTGTCCCCGTGTTCTGCACCGTGTGGGGGTAAGGACAGGGAGGGGTCTCCAGAGACTCATCTGCGCAGGAGTCACAATCGCAATCAGAGATGCAATCGGAAACACAATCGAGGTGACTATCGGAGGAGTCACTGGCCGCGCCCTTGCCCAAGGCACGCCCTTGCCCCGGCGGACGTCCAAACAACCCCTTCACATGAGCCATCTGCTGCGCGTTGCCAAAGAACGAGGCAGTCAAATCACTGCTCAGCCCGGCGTTGCCGTAAGAGCTACCATAAATGTCCCCAACAGACATGTCAAACGTTTTTCTGTCCCCACATTTCGCTAGTTGGCAGATTTTTTCTATGGAGGTGAGCTTCCCCGTTATTAAAAAGAACAAGCCGACAACACTTTTGTACGAAATGAAACATGTTCCAACGCGCGTGACAGCATTGTTTGCGCTGACCAAATGGTAAGTGATCCCTCTTTTTACACTAACGAGCAGGTAAGGGTACGTATCATTAGCTTCTCCCATTTCGCACAGAAATCTTTCTTGTAGCCTATTTTTATTTTGTTCCTCACCCGTTCTGTTACCTTCCCCATGTGTACTCTCGTCCCGCACAAATTTGTACAAACTGGCAGGATAATATTTTCCCAAAAAAATAAGTGCGCTGTTTATGCACTTTACTTCTTCGTGATAGGAGAGCTTGCTCATTTTTTTTAACTTAAAAAATCTTCTCCTAAGATAGGCGCTCCTCTTCCCGGTGAAATTTATTACCGTCTTTGATATTGTCTTCTTTGGCCACTTTTCCAGAGCTTCATCCAAGCTACTCAACTTTAGGGTCATGAAATAAATTTGGGCAATTTGGTCATCCATCAGTGAGTCTCTCCCGTTGTTCCTTCGAGATTCCCCCGATTGGGCCTCCATGAAATGATCATACGCTGAGAATGGTTCTCCCATGTGGGTACCCATTTTTGACGGCAAAATTTGGAGGTGTTCGTTTTTTTCTCGATCTTGACACAGTACAAGGAGGTGGAAATGGCCCACAAGGAGGTGTCTTATGCTTAGCACATAAGCATATATATCCTTCTGCATTTGGAGATATTCTCCATTCGCGGTCGGTGAGTCCGATTTGCATTGAGACCCTTCAGTGGGAATGTAATTATTGACCATTCTGTGAGAAATTATTCCTTCTTTCGTCCCGACATGAGGCTGAGTGTCCTCAATCGTGTGGCAGCTGTCTCGACGCGCGTCTTCACCGATTTCACCGTTCATTGTCTCCTCGTGGTTACTCTTCATTTTCCCCTTCACCAGAATGCTCGTAACGCGGACGCGGTTATAGGAGCACTCAACGCCCACGACATTCCCCATTATTTACGCGTATGTTTGGATCGAAGCGGGGAAGAAGCGAAACGGGAGAGAAGTGCAACGGGAAAGAAGCACAGCCGGAAAAGGGTCAAAATATAAAACAGCAAAAATGATAGTAAAAATAATGTCAAAGAGTAGGACCGGAAAAGTCCAAAAGGAAAAACAAAGTTGAGTTAGAGGTAGGCTGCCCTGCGCCCCCTGTTGAGGGAAGGACAATTCTCTATGGTCAACACGCAGAAGGAAATACTTTTACGGGGTATACAGTGCGCCTTGAAGAAGCTTAGATAGGGGGCCCGCTAGCGCGTGAATGAGGGCATATAATTGGGGTTGCCCAAAACAGAGGCGAAGCCGCACATTTCTTAAATGCCTAATTGTGCTAACTTCCCCTAGGATGCTGCCGCTGTAGGTGTGGCAGTACACTCGTTAGGTCATCCTGCCCTCACCCATATTCTCTCCCACTTAAATAACAGTCAGTGGAGGTTATCAGTCACTAGCACATAACCGTTAGGAGAGTTTTTCTTGGCCATTCGTTTGAGCCGTCGATGGTTTGTTCACTTGGCTACCTCCTCAGGGGTAACCGTTCTGGCACAAAATGAGGCTAAAAGGTAAGAGGAAAATACCAGAGAATAAAATAGAATAAAATAAATAAAAATTGAAAATTTAGGTGATTATTCTGTGAAGCATAGACATGTTTTAAAGGTACCATTTATTCGCGCACTTTTGTTAACTCTTCTTTTTTTTTTTTTTTTTTTTTTCCAACTTGGGGGAGAGAAAAAAGTGAGCAACATTGACTACGACCATTTTGTGAAGGCGTTAAGGGGTATGCCCCTCTCCCTGCGTAAAAACGCGTCCGCTCATTTTCGCTTTTTCTTTTTTTTTCGTTTTCTCCTACCCATTTGTGTGGCTCGAAAAATAACCACTGCAAAGCTAATCTGCAAGACGATGTCGACCTGCCTCAGCCGGGTGGTCTCCTCCTCATCTTCAAACAACGGATGTGGGCTCCTATGAGAGCGTCGTCTATTTCGAAATTGTTTGCGTCGTGGATGTAGCTGTTCATGTTGTGTGCGCATCTACCGCGGCGTCCCCCATTTTCTTTTTTCCCTTACGCACCGCCTCCAAATGGATATTCACCGGTGCACAAGTAAACAATGCCGGGTATCTACCAACATGGCGAGGATTACACACAGATGGGGTAACTCCCAGGACGGCATTTAAAATTCCTTTTTTTTTCCCAACTTCTGTCCCTGCGCATGTTGTTACGTTTGTGTACAAACGGGAATATAAAAAGAGAGATAAACGTAAACAGAACCGGGTGAAAGGTGTCACTACTTGAGGAACTCTTCACCCCCCTTTGTGCAGAAATGACGCCATATATTTGCCGCATGTGTGTGTTCACGGAATGCTTCTCCAGATTTGGAGAGCAGACCGAGGCCCGCGTTAACTGTGCATAATCAGTCTATTCGCACAGATGGGCCAGAAAGAAAGTCTTCGTAAAAAAAAAAAAAAAAAAACAAATGAAATACCAAAAGAGGTGCATGGATATACGGATGACTCCATTTGGCTGCATACGCAGAGATATACATTTTTATATCCACTGAGTTAGAAAAAGGCGAATTGGGTCTCCCCACTGGTGATCACTACGCCGATGATTCCCGCACCGGTTGCGCCATTAGGTATGTGCACTCGACACGGTCCCTCTCCCGGCCTCCAAAAAAAAAAAAAAAAAAGTGAAACACCCGTGCAGGCATGCGCATATGTGTCTGATGAATCTCGCAGATGTGCATACCCATCGAAGGGGGAAAGTCCCACTCGTGATGGAAGTGCCCCGCAGAACTGATAAAGTGTAACCGGATGAGTGTTAAGTAGATTTGGTGAATACGCGTTTGTCTGTTTGTCTGTCTTTCTGTTTGCCTGTCTGCCTGTCCGTCTGTTTTCCCGTTTCGTTGCTTTTTGCCCCCATTGCGCCCATACACTTTGGGCAATAAATCTATAAAAATTTGTCTGCGCCATCGGGCAAAGGCAAACGTAAACACAAACGCGTCGCAAATCATTCCAAGGAGAGTGACCAATTGCAGGTCAAGCGCGTGCAGCGTATTTTTCTTTTTTCTTTCCTTTACTATCTTTTGATGGTTTCAAAATAGGAATATAATCTGTTAGCGAAATTTTCGGAGGGAAAGATAAGTGGAGTGATACATAAATTGATCACCCAGGGAGACGGTTAATTTGTTATCTGGTTGGCTAGGTGGTCGGCAACCTGCTTCCCCAACTGACTTCCAAGCCGCTTCTCAAACTGCTCCCCAACCTCGCTGCATTGTTTTCCCCCTCTGAGGAACGAAGCATTACGTGCGCTTTGGGGCCATGTCCAGAAATTGCGACTGCCCCCCCCGTCAGAAAATCTCCCCGTAGTGGCCGCTAATCAAGTGCATCCCCCACGAAGAGGAATATCCCCTCCGTCTGCCGCTGAAATTTGCAGCCAAAATCGCTACATTTGCGAAGCCCCCGCAGACGGTGGAGTCACTTTTGCGTAAGTTTGCGCGTGCTGGTTTGCTCCCGCTCGTCTGCCCCCCATTGATCACCTGACTAGGCAAAGATGCACGAGGAATCCGGACAGGTAAGGGCATTCCTTAGAAGTCCGCTCATCAGTGTATGTCTTGGAAAATTCCGCGTCAGACTGCTCACACGAGAGGGGGGTTACAAACCCGAGTTGAGGCGCCTCCCTCAGCGGTGAGATAGTTCACCAACAGAGGGACGCCGCCAGTGGAAGCCGCTAGTTGAAGCCCCTATTCGAAGCTGCATCTTTCACCGCTAATCTCCGCTCATGCAGGTTAGCGCCTCCCTGAGGAAGTGCACCGAGATGGAATACATGTGCCACGTTTACAACAGGCAACTAATTGAGCAAAGGGAAAGAATAAATGAAATTAAAAGAAAACTCAACTCGTACAATCGGACCATACAAGAACAGGAAAATCTTTTTAACCATTTTACGAAATATACTGATGGGTTTCTGAATAACATCATGTAATGCTTTTTTATTTATTTTCTTAATTTGGATTGTCTCCATGTTGGTGATTTTTACGCCACCTCCCTCCCACTTGCATTTTCATACTCATGTTCACTCCTACCCGTTTAGACATGGAGAAGGCAAAAAAGAAATAGCCAGTTCATCCCCTTTGGTGCCTTCCCCCCCTCCCCCCTATTTGTAGAACCTTCTTTGGAAATTTTACCAACTCGAAAAGATTCGGTGTGTTTGGTACCTGTGCGAGGTACTGCCTTGTGGACGACCGGGTTAGTCTCGTTTCCCGCTGTGTAAAGATATGTCCCTTTTGGGGTAGGGGAGGATCCTCCTCTATGTGCGTGCAGTGCGTCTCGCGTTACTGCCCAGGGATAATCTCACACTCTGTAATTTTCCCCCCTCGCTTACCCCTTTTTACACGCAGAACGAGCTAAATTTCGGCAAAGAGACGAAAGGGAAAGGTGTAAAGAAAGTCCAAAATGTAGGGAACATACATCATGGATACGGCGGGAACGACCAAAAGAGAAGGAGCTACGGCAGCTGCAATTGTAATTGCACCTGTTGCTGCAGAAAAATTAAGTCTAAAAAGTGTGTCAGCAACCAATGCCAAAACACCATCGTGTATAACAAAACGAGCTTCTACGTAGAGGAAAATACAAATCGAAAAAAAAACAAAAAAAAGAGCAAACATAAAAAAGGGTTGAAAAAGAAATACTTGAGATTGACAAAAAATATATATAATCTTCACAAACCCTACGACACCGTCGAAGTGAGGGACCTCTACGACATCTACAGGACGCAGAGCTCGTCGTATTGTGATCATTATTACGTCAACTGAAGGTTGTAAAGTGGTGACTCCTACCAAACATGTGTGAGTACATTTTTTTCTCTTCCTTTCTTTCTTTCCTTCCATTTTTGCAACATTCATGTTAACATTGTATATGGGTGTACCGAACAGGAAGCCCATCTGCCTCTACAATTTCCTTTCCCAACCAGAAGAGCATTTTTTCTGGCTATCCTTTCTTTGTTTTTTTTTTTTAATTTTTTCAGCTTTAATCTTTACAAAATTAGTTTTTAAAAATGTTAACGAGAGGGGTTTTTTTACCATCCCTCTCGACAATTTTACAACTTTTTCACAGTGCTGTATAAGTATACATATCACATAAGTGTCTGTCCCTTATCCATTTTTAAAATTTACGAACAACAGCATTCAGAAGGGGAATTCTCCACTTTGTATCACATCCACGCAAGTTGGAAGTGAATGATATGACCTTTCAAAAATGTTAATTTTGTTACCTGACTTGTTCATATTTTTTTTTTCTTTTTTTTTTTTTTTTTTTTCTCCTTTCTCCGCCTAAGTGCAAGGGCACGGACTTCCTACCCTGTGCAAAGTGAACAGATCCGAAAAGGAAGGGAACGACCAAAAGTGAATGCATGCGGATGTAAAGGCACGAAGGTTTATGCGCATAGGCGAAGCGTGTTTCTACGTTATGCGCAACTTCTACAATGATTGTCACACGGCTATATGTTCGTATCATTACTTTCTTTTCCTACTACAGGCTACCATTTTGGCAATTTTATAATTTTTTTTTTTTACTCAACGGCGTTTTTCTCTGTCATGTAGGGGTTATACATATACCTATAAAGCACGCATGGCGTATTAAACCTGCCATTTTTTTTCAAGCGAATATATTAAACTCTTCTTTTTTTTTACCCTTTCCTGTGAGGCATTTTACTAAAAGGGTGTTCTACACGACGGAGGATGCATACTGCTCGTTTTTCTATAAGATGGAGTTGTGAATGAGCATTGAGGCGGCACGATTGAGCAAATATGCCACTTGGGAACGTCCCCCACTTTTCTGCTGTTAGCCCTATTTCTATAAGTTAGCAGCTTCAGATCGTCGCAATATTTTTATGCCATTCGCTTATTCCTCTTCCCCGTTCAAGGTGTCCATTGTACATACATTTAAACACCAGGTACAGCACCCCCTTGGTGATGGACTCCTTTACGAAGCAGCATGGTCCTGTCACGTGTTACTGCTCCACAACACGCACCTAAAATAATGATGCTGCCATGGCGGCTGATTGGCTCCCTTAAGGGTGTAACAGAAGAGATAGCACGCGGGAAAAAATGCGAGGGGGCGGAGAGCCCGATAGCTCAGCGTTTGGTGAAGGATGGAAGCAGATACGCAGCGATGTAACACGGCCAACGCGCAAAAGCACACATGTTCCTATTTGAGGAGGTCTGTTCAGGCATCCCTTTCCTCACGGAACTTAGCAGCAGTCCTTCAACTTCAGAAACCGCATCAGTTTGCAGTGAAACATGCATGAACACACACGCGTGGGGTAAAAGTGTGCGTGCGTGAAATGAGCATCCTTCTCGCTTCGCCCCCTCGCGCCAACTGCGCATGATCAGCTTTGGGTGCCATTCCTGCCCAGGTATCTGTACCCCCTTCCACTGCTACCTCGAGCACTGTTGGGCGACTCCAAGTCACAATAGTGCTCGTTTGGGGGCGCATAAAAGCTGTATATTTTTGGCCGCAGCAGGATTGGAGTTTTCTCCTTCGCATTTGATCTGTGACTTTCTGCCCCATTTTTAGGGTGCCATTTTTTGTGCATTTTGTTTTTGTCAATTTTTGCCCCCTCTTTTTTGCTTCCCCTTTTTTGCCTCCTTGTATTCGACTTTTCGCCCCTCCCGTTTGTCTTGCGCATTTTTTTTTTTTTCTTTTTTTTTT